TGCACCACCATGCCCAGCTAATTTTTTTTTTAAAGTTTTATTTAATTATTTATTTATTAATTATACAGTGTTCTGCCTGCATGTGTCCCTGCAAGCCAGAAGAGAGCACCAGATCTCATTATAGATGGTTGTGAGCCACCATGTGTCTGCTGGGAATTGAACTCAGGACGTCTGGAAGAGCAGACAGTGCTCTTAACCTCTGAGCCATCTCTCCAGTCCTAAAATATTTTTAAACTGAAATTCCTACCCAAAATTAACTGAGCCCTTCAAAAAGTCAATGCACTAGGGCGAAAAGTTAGAGCCACTATTCCAAACTAAACAAACAAACAGGCATCATAACAAACTGTAGTTCATAAAGTCAAGAGTTGGGTCCTAGTTTAAAAGGAAAAGCAACCCTGTGCTGTGCAGTCACAGCACTCAGGAGGCTGAAGCAGGAGAACTTCAAGTTCAAGGCCAGCCTGGGCTTCATAGCAAGACCTGATCTCGAACAAACAGGTCCGAGAACAACATGAGATATTTTTGCAATAACTTGTAGCAACTGAGAACAGGCTGACCTTAGGTGGCATGAAATTACCTTTGGTTTGCACAGGATATCATTCTTAGGAGGCATACACTAAAATATCCAGGGGTACAACACACTTTCAAATGACAGGGTGAAAACATTAAGTTTGTGAGTACCCTTCATGTAGTTACATGTAACCATTCTCCAATAAGATAACTTCCATTCTCTCCAGTAATCTATTGCATGAATATAGCATGATTTAGTTATCCATTTTTCTGCTGATGGAGTTTAGATTGTTTACAGTTTGATATTATGAATAATGCTCTCCTGAACACTTTTATGCTTCTAACGGTCAAAGACAGGCATTTCTATTATACACATCTAGGGGCAGAATCGTTGCCTATTAGTGATCTTAATAGCTAATGCTAAAGCATTCTTCCAAGAAGTTGGATTAGTTTCCTTCCCCACTTGTTCTGGTTGCTCCACATTCTTTCTAACACTTGGAAATGTATTTTTTCTCTTAGTCATTCTGGTACATGTATGCACACATGCATGCATGTACACACAGACATGTGTATTTGAGACAGGGTCTCACTATGTAGTTTTGGTGTGTATTTAGAAAGGACTAGTTTTGAATTCAGATTTTTCCCTGCCTTTTCCTCTGTGTTTGGGTTATAAAGATTTGTGCCCTATTTAGAGATACCTTGCTGTGGCTTTTGTTTCTACTTCCCCAACTTCTAGTAAGGTTGAACATTCCTTCATTCCTTTGTATGGATATGCTAGTAGTTTGGTTCCCTTAAAGTGCCTATCCTGTGTGTGTGGTGTCTATGTCTGTCTGTGGTGTGTGTGTGTGTGTGTGTGTGTGTGTGTGTGTTTCTTTCCTTTCTGGCACTGGGGATGGAACCACCCAGGGTCTCATGCATACTAAGTAAACACTCTGTAACTAAGCTATATCCCCACCCCTCTGGCCTTGAACTCACTCTGCAGCTCAAACAGGCCCTGAGCATGCAATCCTCCTGCTTCAACTTCTGGAGTAGCTGCAATTAAAGGCCTATGCCACCAGACTTATCTTTTTCCTGTTTGGCATGATTTCTTCACATATTCAGTATTCTTATTACATGTTTGGAGCATCTTTTCCTGTGTTGTGGCAAGTCATTCATTCATTCATACATACACACACATACATATATAAACACACATAATACACACACACATATATATATATATCTTCATTGTTTATTGGGAGAAAATACTCCTTAACAAGCCTGGAGGAAGGTAGCTAAGTAACCAGCAAAGCTGAGAAACTTGGAAATTTAGCAGCCTACCACTGTTGAGGTCCGGCTTCTTCATGTCAAGGACACCAGGGTCCTCCTCCTTCTTCAGGAAATTTTAAAGTTATAACTAAAGAAGCAAAGCAAAAATATTCTTTTTTTCCCCCCCTTTGAGACGGGGTCTCAGTGTATAACATTGGCTGTCCTGGAACTTGTACTGTAGACCAGGCTGGCAGAAATCTACCTCCCTCTGCCTTCTGAGTGCTGGGATTAAAGGCATGCACCACCACTGCCCAGCACAAAAATAATATTCTGACCTTGTTTGTTCCTGAGAGTGAGGCAGACAGTTATTTTGCTTTTTCTTCATTGGTTTGGAAGTCATACTCTATTTCTTACAAGCAACACTTGAAATCCACATGTACATTTAACTTAGCACAGCCTGCTTCTCTACTTTTAAGCTTATTTCAGTTTAGTCTTCAGCCCACATTAGTACATTTCCAGCCGTACCATCCCTATGAAGAAGCTGGTATATGCGTCAGATGCTGAATCCCACAGTCCCTTCCCTGCCCACTTGGCATCTGTGACCTCTCCACTGGTCCCTAGGGTGCCCTGGTTTCCCAGGATGCTCTGATTGCATCTGTGACCTCTCCACTGGTCCCTGGGGTGCCCTGGTTTCCCAGGATGCTCTGATTGCATCTGTGACCTCTCCACTGGTCCCTGGGGTGCCCTGGTTTCCCAGGATGCTCTGATTGCATCTGTGACCTCTCCACTGGTCCCTAGGGTGCCCTGGTTTCCCAGGATGCTCTGATTCTACATCTTCATCCTCACCCCATCTTCTCTTTTTGGGCACTTCCTCTTCAAGCCCTACTCAGAATGAATTGTTCCCCCAAGGTTCTTTTCCTAGCCCACACTTCTCCTTTCACTAATTCACTGTTTCTGATTCCATCCACTCCTTCCATGGGGCTAACTCTCAAGTTACTTATTTCCAGGCAACCTCTTTGAACCTCAGACTCGAACCCAATTTCCAGCTGTCAGACTTGACAGGCAGCCTAAATGCAGCATGCTTGTCTGCTTCTTCCATTAATTCTTGGCACGCCCTAGAAACTCAGAATGCTGACCTCCCACCTCTACCTCCTGGTGTATTTTTCTGGTTGCTTTTTCCAAGTGGTAGTTCATGGACATTAGATATTTTAGAAAAAATAGATTCTATAGTAAAGTTAGACTGCTAAGTGCTGGAAAGCTATGGAAAACTGTTTCCACAGGAGACACTCCATGGCTATTAGATTCTAGGTACACGAGGTGTAGTCTAGATACACACGAAGTGTGAAATCTTTCCCAAGATTATTTTAGGATTTCTACAGGGCACTGGATAGCCTTGAACCAGTCCATTCTTCCCTAAACCATGCCAGTGCCCTGGCATTGGCTCATCTTGCCTCCTTAGACATGTTATCCACAGTGGAACAAAAATAAGTTATTTAGAACTCAAATGAAAAAAAAAAAGACAACTATTGTTCATTTTGGGGGGGGGGGGTAAGGCTGCTTCCTGTGTGGCTTGAGAAGCATTCTGTGACCTGGCCAGCTCCACCTGTCTCGTCTCACACCACAGACCTACTTATACTGTAGGAATCTCTACCTACTCTCTTCTCTCCAAATACTTTGTTCACATGGTGCCATCTGGAATGTTCCTTCCCTTTCCTCTCCTCACTGGATAACTGCTACCTCTCTAAGATTTAGCTTGGATGCTACTATTCTCCAACCCTAGCTCATAATCCATCATCAGCAATGATTAAACATATTGTGCAAAGCTTAAGATCAGGAATTTATTCTTTTTCTTTGTTTTATAAGACAAGGTTTCTGTGTAGCTTCAGCTGTCCTGGAACTCACTTTGTAGACCAGTCTGGCCTCAAACTCGGAGCTCTGCCTGCCTCTGCCTCCCAAATGCTGGGATTAAAGGCATGCACCACCACTGCCTGGCTAGTTTATTTTTTTCTTAAATCCTAAAACCTAGTGGGTCCCAGGGTTTAGCCCTCTTCTCTTGATTTGACCTCCAAGATAATCCATCTGTACTGATACCTCCCAACTCACGTCTCCAGCCAGCTCATTTTCAGGGCTCACATTTGCTTTACTCTTCTCTAGAGCTCCACCACACTGGTAGCTTATTCAGGTCTATTAGAATATAACCTCCTCCGACACATTCCATCCAAATCCCCATGCTCAGCGAGGTTGATCTGATTGTCCATCTTTCCTACTGAATTACCCCCACACAACCAGAGCAGCTCCTTACTGTGCTGTCTCTAGTGCTTCAGACAGTGTCTGGCACAATGTTTACAAATTAAATACGTGCTGGATGAATTAATGTCTTACACGTCTGACACATAATTCTAACTGACATTTGAATGCTTGCCAACTGCCCTGTATTGTGTTAAATGCACCACAGGAATTACTTTGTCTCAAGGCTACAATTAGCTCCATTTTATACTGAGACCCTTAGGGATAGTAGTTTGTTGGAATTCCGGTTAAAAAGGACATGGATAGCAGTGGCTCACTGTGCACGGACCGTGCTACTCTCCCACTTACATGGGTAACACTCAACCATGTGCTCAAATGGAAGGGTGGTGAAGGTCGGAGATGGGGAGGGAAGGGAGTCAAGTAGAGGACATGCACTGCTGACCCAATGTTGTCCTTTGCATTTTGCCCTCCCCACCCTAGCCAAGCAGAGCACCATCCTTATTTCATGATGGAGAAGTCAAGTTCCTCCTAGCTTTCACTGCTTAGAGGCTGGGTCACCTTTAACCAGGCAACCAAATGGAGCTACTGCTCCCTTGCCAGGGAGGAGTTTCATCTACATGTTTACTCATCTGGGTACAGGGAAAGAACAAAATGCTCACAGATCAGTCTTGGAGTCTACTGTGGGCTCTGTCAAGGAAGGGTTGATGCCTGGTAACTGCATTCCTTGTCTAGGTCTCAGCTTTTCCACCTTAGGGCTACACACTCCAGAGTCTGACGTTTCACAACCCTTACAGTGCAGAGCCCCAGACCCTTCTGCTCACTGCTCCGGATACCACTGGAGGAAGGTCTCCTTTCTATCTTCTGGCCTGGCCTGGCCCTTGGCAAACCAAGAAAAGAATTCTTTAAAATGCAAGTGAAGGTGAAGATGCCCTTGGAAAGCAAAACTCCTGTGTGTGTGTCTTACTGTCTTCCAAGAGTGACACAGTGACAGCCGAGCAAAAGGTCCTTCCCTGCAATATTTATTAAGGAATTTACACATACACAGGAGAAAGGCAACCAGGCGCTGTGGTTCCCACACATGAGATCTTTGAAGCAAAGTTTTCTTGTTTGAGTTTTCAAGTGGGGTGAACAATGGCCGAGAGAAAGCTGTCCAGGCTCTCTGCCTCTTACACCTGGAAAAGGCGGGCAGACAGCACTCAGACACGAGGGTATCACAGATGGTGGATGGGAAAAGGGAAAGCAGGAGGGAGCTATCAATGAGATGGCAAGTTTTAAACAGTTTTAGGCTGTTGAGAAATTAATTCCTCTCTGTTGTAAACCTAGAACTATAAAAACAAAACACCCACAGCAGATGGGGAAGTGGCAGGTGGGCTCGACACCCCCCCCCCACACACACCCACACACACACACACACAAGCCGTGCACACATTAAGCTCTGCATTTCCTCATAGGGGCTGGTCTTTCAGCCACAGGGCCAGATCCTGCCCTAGGGCAGGCAAGGGGTGTGTGGGACCTTCATGGAATCTTTGGTGCTAATAAAGGCTGACTGAGCAGCGAGTCCTGAAGCTCTCAAGACGGAGTGATACTGTTGCTCATCCTCATAGGAAGGGGCTTGCCTCACTCCAGGACCAACTTGACCCAAGACCCGAGGAGTATCTGGCTGCAGAACTTCCTTCGTTCCCACAAAGCTGGGAACAATGCCTCCCTCTTCAAGCAAAACTGCCAACATTTAGAAACAGCTTAAAACAAATAAAGGACTGCCCCACGTTCCCCCTGCCAAGCACTCAGACTCTACAGACTTTCCTGGGGGCCTGAGAGGAGGCTCAACCTCAAGGCAAGGTACTGAGCAGTTCATGTACCCTCTTCTGCCGATAATTTCTAAGGTGCTGGTGCCGGGAGAGGGTGGGGAGGAAATCAGGACAGTCGGGATGTGACCAACACAAAGCAACAGAGAGGTCTGTGAGTTGGGAAAGGGGCTGGATTGGGCATGATGCCAAATCCCAGATGACTTATGTGCAACTTCTAAATCAAACAGAGAGAGCTAGGATAAAGAGGAGGAGATGGCTGGGAAAGAAGAGAAAAGGGAAAGCAAGGGCTGAAGAGTGGCAGCCATACAGGCGCTTTGCTTTTATTTCCACATCTGAGGACTTAGCGTCTGATTGGCTGCCTGGCCATTTCCACTGCCCATTGACTGTCCATAGTTCATCATGCCGTTGGCGCCGTAGAAGTTCATCCCAGCCATCTGCTGGGTCATCTGAAAAGGACAGAGATTTCTGGATCAGGCCTTGGCCACTTAGCCAGTTCGTGCACAGAGCAGGGGAGGGGTCCTGTCTGTGGGAGGGGAAGGCGTCCTGATCTAGTCACCAGAAGACCTCCAGTGAGCTTCTCTTCTTTCCAGGCCCTCTCCTCATCTCCTCACTTGGGGCCCACTGTCAGCTGGCCACAGCCTGCTCTGCAGTCTTAAGAACAGGCCCCTGCTGCAGTGCTCCACCTCACCCCCAGCAGAGGGCACTAATGCAGGTATGAGACAGGGTCTTACTGTGTAGCCTGACTGGCCTGGACCTCACTGTGCAGATCAGACAGGCCTCAGACTCGCAGTGGTTGTCCAGTAGGGACTTCTTTGTAATTAGATAAAAGACAGACTGAAATTTGCTAGATAAACTCTTTTTCTTCCATCAGCTTTTCCCAAAAAATCTCAGTTTTCCTTAAAATTGAAAATTAGGGAAAACTGGAAGAACAATGTAACAAAATCCATGTTTTGTCTTTAAATCCACAAGTTGTTACAATTTTAGCCTCATCTTCTTCTGTGTACACATACATACAGGTATAGGCATACAAAACTTTTAAGGTAATTTTGATGTGCAGGTATCACACCACTGCACCCCCTGCCCTGGAGGTGAGGGAGCATCCCACCAGGACAGGACAAACACTTTCCCAGAACCATGCGCCAGTCCACCCAAGAAATGTCACGCTGCTACCACTGTCCATACTGCCTCACTGCCGCAACTCTTTCCTCTCTAGCCTGGGTGTTTATTTCTGTTTAATGTGTAACTGACAACTTCGTGTGTGGGGTGATGTGCAGAGGTGGCCTCAGCCCAGAAAATTTTCTTGTTCTTTGGTGCACTCCTTTAATCCCAGCACTTGGGAGGCAGAGGCAGGCGGATCTCTGAGTTTGAGGTCAGCCTGGTTTACAGATCGAGTTCTAGGACAACCAAGGCTACACAGAGAAACCCTGTCTCGAGAAACAAACACACAAACAATACAGGGATCCTCCTTTTATATTATACTCTTATTTCCAGAGGTGTTAGTTTGTTTTTTTTTTTTTACAGTTTTAATATATCAACCCTGTCCTGTGATCTTATTTTATTCTTTAGTTATCTACAAACACATATGCTACCCATTCTTTGCCTGCTTCTATATTACTTTCTATGATTCTTTTTTTTAAATCGATCTATTTATTTTTATTTTATGTATGTTTTGTTTGTGTGTTTGAATGCGTACCATGAGTGTGCCTGGTGCCTATGGAGGCCAGAGGAGGGCACCTGTTCCCTTAAACTGGAGTTACAGACAGTTGGGAGCTGCTAAGTGGGTCCTGTGGGGAGCAGCCAGTGCTCTCAGCTGCTGAGCCATCTCTCCCACGCACTCCGGTTTTTACACCTTTGTTTTGTTTTTAGTTTGTGTCTGTGCGCCTATGGGGGAGTATGCACATGGACACTACCCCTTTTTTTATATCTAGTTTCCTTCTCCCACTTATTTCACGCCTTTTGCTATCAAATATATTTTTTAGCTGAATCCATTCACCTCATTGTAGTCTTTCTTTCCGAGATTATTTTGTCTTTTCCTTCAATTTGCCCCGAATACAGTGAACTTCCATTTTATAATTTACAGTTTTCACAGTTCTCCTGACTCATCCTCCTGAATTCTGGGATTTCAGGTGCTGGCTGCCATTCCTGGCTTCAAGCAGTTTTTCTTATTTGCAAATGTTTGTTTAAGGGGCCTTCATTCAGGTTGGTATTCTTTTTTTTTTTTTTTTTTTTTTTTTTTTTTTTGTTTGTTTGTTTGTTTTTTCCTGCTTTATGATTGGGGGTGGGTTCATTATAGGCAATTCTTTGACTTTTAAAAATGAGTTCTTTGGGTGTGGTTCATGTAACCTGTTTCGATCATATTTACCCCTCACCCTAACACTTCCCCATTTCACCCAACTTCCTCACTCTCTCAGCTGTGTGTGTCTTTCTTCTTCTTTTTAATCCCTCAAGAACAATTTGTTAACCAAATATTCTCAGATATGGCCTTCTACTGGAGCGGTCAGTTTACCAGGGCAACACTCTTAGGGAAAGCTCTCTCCTCCCCCCAGTTCCGTGCCCTAGCTCCACGGCTCAGGGTGGGATCATGTGCTCTGACTTTTGTTTTCTACTTTCACCAGCTACCACGTTCTGCTTACTTCCTAGCACTTCATTCTTCTGAGGCAGTGATCATGCAAACAGATATGAGGTTCGGGGACATTACTAGACAGGAGTTCCAGAGCGCCCTCTCCTGTTAGTGGAATGATTGCATAGATGAATGGATGGTGTGTCTTCTGATTTGTAAGTCTGTGTTCCATCCCTCACTTCTTTCTTTCCCATCACCCAGTTTTTCAGACTTTCGCCTTCCTATGTCATGGTCTCCTCCCCACACAGTATCTTTCCAAGTTACCAACCAGAGGTCTGTGTGTTTCACTCCCATGTCTGTGAGGTTCCAGGTGCCCAGAGCTCTACTCTGCCATGCCTTCTGCCTGTTTTCAGTATGCCTCTACCAGGACGGGCCTTTCTCCTTCTGGTTTCATCACCTCTAGGCCTCTGCTCCCTCTCCTCTTTTTGTGTAGCCTCCTCTCTGGCTTTGTGGGGATTCAGGCGCTCCTAACATTAATGTCACGTCATGTGTCATGTACTAGCACTTTTGCTCATGCCCCTTGCTTGTCTATAGAGGTTTGTTTGGTTTTCAGAAGGTGTGGGGAGACTCAGACAGTCTATGGGTCTTGTTCTCTAGGAGCTCAGGAACCCTCAAAAAGTCTGACTTCACCAGGCCTTCTAGGGAAATAAAACGAGGTGTATCTCTGGCATTAGTTTGTCCATGTGGAAAGGACTTGGGGGATGGAGGAGTGGCGCCAGGTGGGACAGTGAGGACGGCTCTCAGGTCCCATCCGGGGTACAGTGAGGCTGCTCACCTGAGTAAGGTTCCACTGTAGCTGCCGAGCTGGCTGAACCCCATACACAGTCTGGGGCACAGCCGCCATGCTCGCCATGTAGCCGGCCTGCTGAGTGGTCACCATCCCGTTCGGTACTCCCATCATGGAAGCCTGCATTCCCCCCATGTAGCCTGCAGGCATGGCCATGGGGGCAACCATTCCAGAGGCTCCTGGCTGAGCTACCATGCCTACTGGCGGGGGCATCATACCCCCCATGATACTGTTAGGTGGTGTAACCCCAGGGAAACTGGGGTAAGCTGTGGGATATGCCATCTGAGCAGGAGCCATGAACATTGCTGCCAAGAAAGCACACATAAGGGTCTGTTAAAGAGTAAAAGACAGAGTTAGCCCGAACCCTCTGCAGCTATCCCTCTCCTGGGAGTTCTCCGATTACTCACCTTGGAACCCTGTTATCTACCCACAGTGAAGCAGCAGGGTGGGCTCTCTACAAGTCTCTCTGAGGTTACACTGGGCCTTGCTCTCATCACCCAGGGCCCCGTCCCTGCTGTAGTCCCTCTCCATTACTCCTCCTTCCAGTTTCTTATCACATGTGTCAATAAAACCTTCCCCTCTCGTGAGCCCCTTTCCAGTTTCTCAGACTCTAGCCTCAATTACTCTCATATGTGGATTCTAGCACATAATTTTTGCACGTTTACTTATGTGAGAGCAACATTAAACATGTGGTATATGCATTTCTAAGCCTGGGTTATCTCAATATAATTTTTCCCAGTTCTAGCCACTGTTTACGAATTTCATTTTCTTTATGGCTGAGTAAAATTCTAATATAGCATAAATTCTTACATGCTTGCTCTCAGTCTTCCCTGGAGCAGCTCTGTGACTTCACAGACTTTACCTTGGGCAGGCATTTGAGGCGTCTGGGACCCATACAGTGACAGGATGGAGTCCTTGGAGAGCTGTTTCTTGCCTGTTTCTTCTGATTTGCTCCCTGGCTCAGGAAACAGGTTCAGGTTCTCAGGGACAGAACCAGCACTCCCTGCAGTAGGCATGGAACCCACAGCCTAGGGCACAGAGGACAGTGGGACAATTGGTTGGCATGGAACCTATAGCTTTAGGGCAGAGGGCAGCAGGACAATCAGAACGGTTGCCTGTGTAAGGATCCTAGCAGTTTCTGATACTTCTATCATCTCTGATTACAATTAAGGGCTCATGTATAGTTGAAACAGCTCACACCTACAATCCCAGAATTCAGGAGGCTCAGGCAGAAGGCTAGATGGAAATCTGAGGCTACCTGGGCTACACAGTGAATTCTAGGTCGGCCTGGACAATGTTGTTAAAGTGTGAGACAATGGGGGATAGAGGAGTAGAGAAAGAAAGAAAAGGATGTATGGCGTATGTTAAGTCAGCAACTTCCTGAAAATTTCATCACAAAAACACTTGACAAACCCTGTAAGTTTGTTCTCCAATAAAGCAATAAGACTGGATAATAACTAAATAAAAACAACCCCAAAATGATGCAGCACAGAGAGCTAAGTTTGGTTCAGTATACAGGCTGGGACAGCTCAGTGCCAAAGTGTTTGCCTAGGATGTATAAGGTCCTGGGTTCAATTCCCAGCCTTTCTCTCTTACACATACCAAAATCCCAGAGTAGCTATTCACATAATACAACCAGAAGAAACTTCCACAACTAAGTGTTCTCATCAGCAAAATACACATTTTAGAGAATTCCTGGGAGACATGAAAGTAAGCAAAATATACAAAGTGACACTGTGGTAGTTTGAATGTAACTGGTCCCCACAAGCATGAGGAGGTGTGGCTTTGTTGGAGTAGGTATTGGAGTATGCCTTGTTGGAGGAAGTGTGTCACTGTGGAGGTGGGCTTTGAGGTCTCATATAGGCTCAAGCCATGCCCAGTGTCTCAGTTCACTTCCTGTTGCCTGTGCAAGATGTACAACTCTTATCTTCTTCAGCACTTGTCTGCCTGCATGCTGCCATGTCTCACCATGATGATAATGGACTAAACCTCTAAACTGTAAGCCACCCCAATTAAATGTTTTTTCCTTTATAAGGGTCATGGTGAGTCTTCACAGCAATGGAAACCCTAACTAAGACAGACACAGACACCAGTTCTGGGGTACAGTAGCAAGTACTCCACAAATAAGAACTGCTGAAGTTCAAGTCTCTCATTTGCACAATACCCTGGCAGGGGTTCAGACTGAGGGGCTCATCTCAAGAATCAGCCTTTAAATAACTGACATCCCTGTGCCACAGACCCATTCAACGAGTCACTCTCTGGGGGCAAAAGACAAAACAGTATGAAACAGCAATCGTGGACTAGGATAAGATAACACAATTCCAAAGAGAAAATGAGAAACAGAAGTTCAGCACTACCAAGGAAGCATGAGTCAACTCCATAGTCAAGCTACCAACTTTCCTAGAATGTTCTTTAACCCCGAGAATTGCAGAAGACTCACCTTTCTGGAAACTGAAGAAGGGGATGGAACAGAGGCCAAGAGATCTAGATCCTTTTCTAGGGTGTTGCTGGTCTTACTGTTTGCAATTGAGCAGGCCACAGGGGCATCTAGGAGGAAAGGCAGAATTAAATACAGCACAGCTATGGAGACATGTCCTCTATGTGAGACAACAAATGGACACAGCAAGGCCACAGGTTTTGGCCCAGGGAGCCTGCATAGGGTTTTCAAAAGAGGCCTCATCCCACATTCCCACAAGTGCTCTGGAGTAGGCTATAGCCAGTCAGAGGGCAGCAGAAACTCAGAAGACCTCAGTGCCACAGCTGAGCGGCTGGCTTCCTCCTGGTTACTAGAAGGACAAAGTGTGTAGGACTCACTTTGAGAGAGAAATGAGGTATGGAAATTGGAGCCATGGTAGTTGTGACCTGAATTAGCGGCAAAGACCCGGAGGTACAAGGTCTGTGAGAGAGAACACATTTTCTCCTTGAAAATGGCAAAATCAGGGCTGCACAAAGAAAACGGCTTGCAGGGTAGCAGGCCATCTCAGAAAATGGCCGCACAGGACTAGTGGCTAGCGGGGGGAGTTCAGGAAAGTGGCAAAGGTGTTGATGTGAAATTGCCACCATTTACTAAGGGCTTGGCGGAAGCAGGAGAGGGACCAGCAGCCTCAGAGGTAGAGACTGACCCGCCACACCACACGGTTATGAAAGTAACATTCAAGGTTAAGTAAACTACCCACGATCCCAGACAGTAGGTCATACTTCAGGGCCAGAGGCCCTGCTCTCAGACACTGCACTGAGATGCTGCTCTGGAAAAGGCTGAGCAAACACTCTCTTAGAGTAACTGTTCAGAATTAAACAGGAAGAGCATCTGAGGACAGTCTTAGTGAAGCAGGCACAAACATAAGCCCTGACTCCCAGTCTGCCTGCAGTGGCTGAGAATTCACCGAATCTGCAAGGACACAGGAGTTGAAAGGTCTAATTCTTACCAAGGCCCAACAAGTCCATGACAGGGGCTGCGGATTTCGGGGAGCTTTTCCGAGGTAGCTGTGCGTCTTCTTTTTTCTGTGGCTAAGGTGAAAACAATGTTATAAAAAAGAGCAAGCAGTTGTTTTTGACTACACCCCCATCACTGTAAAGCCACAGGTATTCTTGTGGTATGGCTGTTTGTCAAAGACAGTTACCAAAGAAACAAGACTCAGGAAGTGCCAGAAAGCATAAGTGCATGAACTGTCCACAAAGTGACAGTGTGTGGAAACAGTCCATCCTGTGAGCAGGCACCAACAAAAACTGGTTTTGGTTGGGGAGGGGGGAACACACACACACACACACACACACACACACACACACACACACACACACACACACGACAACACCCTGAAGGGACTACACAGCAGATAGAGCAGACAAAGCCAAATCTGACAGCCTGAACTCAGTTCCCAGGACTCTCGGGGCACAAGGTGACAGCAGATTCCCACAAGTCACATTCTGACTTCCACGTGTGTGTGTCACAGTACATGAATCCCACAAATAAACAAATAAATTGGTTTTTGTTGTCCTTTTGTTTTTGAGACTGGGTTTCTCTGTGTAGCCCTGGCTGTCCTGGAACTGAACATGTAGACCAGGCTGGCCTTGAATTCATAGAGATCCACCTGCCTCTGCCCCCGAGTGCTGGGATGTGTGATACTATGTCTAGCCCAGTTTTACTTTTTAATTAAAGAAAAAGTCAGGTGGCACAGCCTTTAATCCCAGCACTCAAGAGGCAGAGGCAGGCAGGTCTCTGAGTTTGAAGCCAGCCTGAGTGAGTTACAGGTCAGGCTCCAAAACAATACAGAGAAACCCTGTCTCAGGGGGGGAAAAAAAAAAAAAAAAAAAAAGGAAGGAAGGAAAAGTCAAGAACCAACATATTTCTCATTTTGTTTAGAAGCCCTTTTACTCTATACTAAAGGAGATCACTTTAAAGAGTCCCAGTCTTCTCTACCATTATCACATGGACATGGACAGAGTCTACAGACGCGCTTCACAATGACGCAAAGAACCTCTCCTTAAGTAATAGTAAAAGTAGCATTAAAAAAAAAAACAAAGTCTGGAGGGATGGCTCAGTGGTGAAGAGCACAGGCTGCTCCTGAAGAGGACCTGGATTTAGTTTCCTGCAACCCACATGGTGACTCTAGTTCCGGAGGACACAGTGACTTCTTCTGGTCTACTCGGGCATCAGACACACATGTGGCACACATATTTACATGCAGGTAAACATTCACATATATAAGATAAAAACAAATAAGCCTTTAAAAATAAAAACTAATTGACCATCTTTTCTCAGAGGATCTGCTCACAGCCACAGTGCCCTCTGGGGAAGAAGTGGGTATGACCTTACTCCTGGGCTGCTTCACACTGCAGCAGGGAGAGGAGATCAGAGGTCTGCCAAAACTAACACAGAGGGAACATCTGCTTATAAGGCATCACATTGCCATTGTACATTGGCAGAGGATATGCACCTTGCTCAAAAGGGAAAGATACAGTTCCCAAGCTTCCATCTAGCCTACTCTCAGAGAGAAGAGCTATAAGCTAGACGCAGTGTGGCACACCACTAATCTTAGCATGTGGGAAGCAGGTCTCTGTGAGTTCAAGGCTAGCCTGGCTATACAGTGAGACCTCTCCAAAAAGGGAGTTGGGAGAAGAAAGCTGGGGTGTTGGGGGGGGAGGGAGGCAGACTACAGAGCATATTAGACAGCACCAGGGACAGGGCAAGCAGCAGGTTGGTCTGTACTACATGTGGGCCTTTAGTCCCAGTAAAACAGTACAATATGGTTTCAACCCACTCACCCTCCTCCTCCATATATGTGAACACGAGACCACCCACATGATGAGAGGTTCCCACTTACCATTTTTACTTTCTCAAAAACAACAGGCTCCATCTTTTTCTCTGGAACAGGTTCACTCCCTCGTTTCCACTTATCATCCTTCTCTTTCTAAAGTGATTTAACAGACAGGGATGTCTTAGCATTAGTACAATCCAAATGCAAACAGGACATCAGAGCTCCCTAAGATTCTGATGCAGCAATTCATCCAACCTGGTATGAGGAATGAGCACTGACCTCCTCTGCCTGATTTACTCATCACCTTGAAATTTGTAACACAGGCTATCTATAGAGGTTTAAAAGATGCCACCCATTTGTGCCCTTTTAGAATCTCCTCTGTGTTATAAACAACTACATGAAGTCAAAGGAATATAGAAAGTAAGTACTAAAGACAGGCATGGTGGTGAATGCCTGTAGTCCCATCATTTGGAAGACTGCGGCAGGAGGGTTTTGCATTTGAGACGAGTCTAGGCTATACAACAAAGACCCTCAAAACAACAATCCTGAAACAGGAATAGCTCCGGCCGGGCGGTGGATCTCTACAAGGCTAGCCTGGTCTACAGAGCTAGTTCTAGGACAGGCTCCAAAGCTACAGAGAAACCTGTCTTGAAAAACCCAAACCAAACCAACCAACAAACAAAAAACCAAAACCAAAGAAGTTCAAAGGTAGCTTTGGCTACATATCAAGTTTGGTTTATTTGAGACCTGGAAGAAGGAAGAGAGGGAGGGAGGAAATGATGGAAGGAAGGAAGGAGGGAAGGAGAGAAGGAAGGAAAGAGGGAAGGAGGGAAGGAAGGCAGGTAGGAAAGAGGGAAGGAGGGAAGGAAGGAAAGAAGGAAGGAGGGAAGGAGGGAAGGAAGGAAAGAAGGAAGGAGGGAAGGAGGGAAGGAAGGAAAGAAGGAAGGAGGGAAGGGAGGAAGGAAGGAAGGAAGGAAGGAAAGAAGGAAAGAAGGAAGGAAGGAAGGAAGGAAGGAAGGAAGGAAGGAAGGAAGGAAGGAGACCAGGCATAGTAGCTGACACCTGTAATCCTAGCAATTATGAGACAGGGGCAGGAAACTCAACCTGAGTTTGAGGCCACCCTGAGCCACGATGAGACCTTGTCTCAAATAACTTTCATATTTCCTGTAAAATAATTTTATCGTTAATAGTATTTTGTCTTTCTGGGTATTGTGTGGCACTGGAATTCAGAACACTATTCCTTTCTGTCTCTGTTTTTGGAAATGTTAGTCCAGGTTGGCCTCAAACTCACTATAGCCAAGGTTGACCTTAAACTCCTGATCCTTCTGCATTTATAGCCAAAGTGCTGGGATTACAGACAGGCCCAGCAGAACACTATTTACAAACTGAAGTTGAAAATGGTTTGTCTATTTTTAAAATGAACTTTTGATGGGAGTAGTATGCACACTTTTAATCCCAGCTCTAAGGAAGCAAACATGGATCTCTATGAGCTTGAGGTTAGCCTAGTCTACACAGTAAATTCAGGCTAGTCAGAGCTATATAGTGAGTTTTTTTTTTTTTTTTTTTTTGCTTTGTTTTTATTGTTGTTATTTCCCTTTTTCAGACTATCTATGTAGTTCATGTTGGCCTCAAACTTGCGGCAATCCTCCTGCTTCAGTCTCTACAGGCTGGTGTTACAGGTATGTGTCATCATCCTGGCTGCTGAAAATACTCTTCTTCTTTATGGTGCTAGAGACTATAGTAACTACTAATTCTTGGTATAACAAGAATGTAAAAGCATCTAAGCACACTGAATAAGGAAATGACTGCTTCAGTTCAAAGGAAGCATTTCCTTTCCAGATGCAAACACTTGTTTTGTGGGGGTGGCGATACAGCAATACCAAGATGAGCGCTAAGTGTCTTCCTGCCATGTCCTCAACCCCACCATCTTCTGGATCACTCTATGTATTCCCTCATTTAGTTTACACTTAGTACAGTGAACACAGCTTTTATTTTCTATAACTAAAAGAAACTGTATATGTTTGGGTTCAAACTCTTTCTAAAAGATTTACTTTATTTTAAAATTGTGTGTAATGTGTGTGTGGAGAGAGGTATGCTGTACACAGGAGTGCAGAGCACAGGAACTGGAGTTACAGGCAGTTGTGAGCTGAGTGCAGTGGACTGGGGACTGAGCTCTCATCCTCTGCTATAGAGTAAATGTTGCTGACTGCTCTAGCCCTGTCAAATCCTTTTGGATGATGCTCTCTGGGTGTAACTCTACAAGGAGTTAATTCTTTCTTGGAACCGTTAACTGATAACCTTATTTTTTCAGATGACTGTGAGGAGTCCTTCGTATTAAGCTGGGAAAGAGTTCCTCTTCCCTGACTACCTGCACTACCTTGCATTTACCTGCCTGTCCAGACTCACCAGCTAATGCCCTTCTCCTATGCTGCCAAACGTCCATCTACAGCTGGCTCCAATTAGCTTAACTTTTAACTATCTGGGACAGCTTTTACATGAAATGGTTTAGGGAGCCCCATGAGAGCATAGTAACTTCACTGACTATTATATCATCCATTAGAATAAACAGCAAAAGGATAGGGTATGTAGCTCAGTGGTAGAGTGATTCAAGCTCTAGCAATGCAATAAAGAAAGTGAGCAGTTGAATAAAAACTAGAAGACAGACAGATGATGGGTGGACGTGACCTGTGCTAGGACTACAGAATTTCATACTTCCTATAATTCCATGGCTGGGAAGAAAACATCAATTATTCTAAAGGATCTCGGCAAAGCTGACTGAAGCTCTAGAGTGGCATCTTTACTGCTTCTTCCTTAGTCATCATTAGTGGGCACACTCTCTAGAAACTACATTGCATTCCCTCCTGTGAGTTGTCATTGTCCCAGTTATACACATGGCAACTAGTACCCATCCCTCTCCTTCTGAAACTCTTCTAGGGACAAAGGAAGTGTCCCATTGGCAATGAGTGCAAAGCAGCGACCATCAGCACATCGCAGTGGTCAAACTGAGGAAACCCTGATGAGGTAACTAAACCTGCTTCTTTGGCTTCATTAATAAACAAAAAGTGTATGTGCACATTATTAATGTATACATACACATGCACGCAATATCATTTTGCTTGACCTATTACATCCAACATGTCCATCTCTAAAAAATAATCTGAGGCCAGCAGACAGCTCAGTGGATGGGGCCTTGCCTTGCGGACTCTCTCTCTGAGTCCACTCTCTGGGGCCCATGAGGTGGAAGGGGAAAAGGGACTCCAATAAGTTACCTCCACATGTAAACCACACACACACTAGATTAAATAAACAGCTTTTAAGGTAGGAATTTGGGATCAGATATAGAAGATTCCTATAATCCCAGGACTCAAGACAGTAGGGACAGGAGTTCTGAGGCCAGGCTGAGCGGCATAGTGAGACCTTGTCCCAAAAACTCAAAAAAGGAAGGTGGGAAGGAGGAAGGAAGGAAGAAGGAAAGGAAGGAGGGGAGAGGAAGGGGAAGAGGGAGGGAGGGAGGGAAGGGAGAGAGGGAAGGAGGAGAATGGAACTGGGAATCAGTAGCACTTCTCAATATAGAGCAGGGCAAAGAATCCACTGGTAACTGTCCTGCTTGCTCAAGAGTTAGGCTCAGAGGGTGTTCCATATCATGACCTTTCTCCTACTTTCACATTTTACTTTTGTTTGTTTATTTATTGTAGCCTTAGTTTGAGACAGGGTCTATATTTGTTCATTTACTGTAGCCTTAGTTTATTTATTTGAGACAAGGTCTGACTATACAGCCTTGGCTGGCATGGAATTGCTATGTAGACCAGGCTGGCCTCAAATCTGTAGTGATATATTATTTGTGACTTATTAAAGCTTGACTGAGGATTCAGAAAAGTCGAGTCAGCCACAAGCTACAGAGATCAAGCACTGGTGATATACACCTTTAATCCCAGCAGCCAGAAGCTAGGAGAAGGTGGTATATACCTTTAATCCTAGGACTCAGGATTAAGAGATAGCCGGATCTCTGTGAGTTCAAGACCACCCAGATCTACACAAGAGTGAATCAGTCTAAAAGAGAATTATAGCTCATACCTTTAATCACAGCATCAGAGGGGTGTAAAAGACAGGAGTGAGGGTGGAGTATGAGGCAGTCATTCTCCAGCCACACTGAGGAGAGGTTACAGTCTGAGGCTTGGTGAGCACTCGTGGAGACAGGATCAGCTCATTCAGCCTGAGGTAGAGGTAAGAAACTAGTGGCCAGCTGCTTTGCTTTTCTGATATTCAGCTTGAGGTTTGAGCCTCAGTATCAGTCTGTGGGTCATTTATTTATTCATGTTACACAAATTCACAGAGATTGCCTGTCTCAGCTGGGATTAAAAGTGTCACTGCCATGACAGGCTACTTTCACATTTATTAACTGACCCTTTGGGACACTTTGCTGCTTCACTGATATTCCGTTTATTATGTGAAAGTCTCAAATTCTTCCTGGCCTGATTAAAAAGTAAGCCACTAGAATAAACAAAATGAAAGATTTACAACCAACCCTAAGGGCATTGATGTCCAGACTTCGGTCCATATATTTCTTCTTCTCATATTTATCTCGAATAAATCCTTCAACAGCTCTGTAAACACTTATTAAGGACAAATCAAGAGTGACTGCAACGGTGGGAATGTGAAAGACCAATTTGTCCCCACAGCGATGCTCTCCTCTTTCCTTCCTGCCTGGTTTCCCCACAGGAATCTTACATGCAGCTTCCCTGACCAAAACCTTGAAATCATCCCTTCAAAGTTACTGCAGGTGGCCACCATTTTCTGGTGTCCCTTAGGACTGATGACAGTGGCAAGTGGGACAACCTTCACTGAGGGCGTGGCACCTGTGGCTGCTGTATTAACCTTCACTGAGGGCGTGGCATCTGTGGCTGCTGCAGGATGCAGGAAAAGCAGTAGGTGATCTGTTTTAAGGTGATCAACAGATGGCAAAGGCACCTAAAGGCCTCCCCGCAACAAGCTTAGGCCTAGCTGCCAGATTCTGACTGATGGGTCTCTGCTACCTAACAGGCTCCACCAACACCTACCAAAGTCAAACCCTAAAGAGGTAAAGTCCCCCTTGAGGAACACCACCTTCAAATGGGCTTGTTCAGCCCCTGCTGAGGGAATGGAGGAAGAACAATACTGGCAGCCTGGTCAAAAGTGATCAGTGCTTTCACACAAGCTAGTTTTAAGAAGCAGTAAAAAATGAGTGCCAGTTTTGCTAATTGCCAGGGTTCAACAGAGCACAGTAAACCATTCTTTTCATCAAACAATAGTTTCAGAGATTCAGAGACTATTGGAGCTGTCACTCTATGGAAGAATTCACAGTAAAGTTGCTGCAGCCCTAATTACTGTGCTTTCCCTGCATGAAACTACATGACAATTCCAACATCAGCACACACGTGCCTTTTCTATCTTGGGTGAAGGAGAAAGAAAAGCCAAAGTCTTTGACTAATCCACACAGAGATGCCCAGTCCTCTCACAGCCCTTGAAGGTCATCTGGCTCTTCCCCAACATCAAAACTGCACTCAGTTACCACTCCAGTAAAAGATACGGGTCTATCTGAGGCCGCCGAAAGGTCTCAGGAAGGTAGGCTTCGTAGAGTCGGTTTGCCTTCCCATTCCCCATCTCTTGCATGCACTGCAACGAAAGAGAAGAAGAGCAGATCAGACCAGAGTGCATTCGTCTCACCCAGTTCTGCCACTGTGCAGACGAAGAGCTGACTCCAGAGAGTGGCAGAACCACTGGGTTCTGGTTTCCCAACATTTTGTTGCTACAGCTTTTCCCTCTCCATAGGTTACTTCAATTTTTTTTTTCTTTCTGCGTATGGGTGTTTCTCTAGCATATACATCTGTGCACTGTGTGTGTCCAAGGAGGCCAGAAGAGAGTACCTGATCCCCTGGGACTAGAGTTACAGACAGTTGTGAGCCATCATGTGGATGCTGGGAATGAATCCTGGGTTCTCTGGAAGAACAGCCAGTACTCTTAGTCTCTGAGCCCCTGGATAGTTGCTTCTGTTGCTGTTATTAATTGAAAGAAGTGTCTAATAAGAGACAAATAATTCAGTAACAATTCATGCTACATAACTATCCATCAAATTTCTACAGGGCCAGCACTAATGGGTGCTATGATTCTAAGTTAATAAAAGTGTCTTTTGGCAATGCTGAGATTGGACTCAAGGCATAGTACATGGTAGGCAAATGTTCTACCACTAAGCTACCTCCCTCGGCCCTTCTAAACTTACACTTTTAGCTAACTTATTCAGTTCTATTATCAGTAAATAATGTTTTTTCCCATTAAGCATTTAAATGGACCCCTGTGCTGACTATAAGCTTGATACAACCTAAAATAGTCTCAACTGAGGAATTATGTAGTTCTGATTGGGCTGTGGGCATGTCTATGGAAGACTGCCTTAACTATTAATTGATGTAGGAGGACCCAGCCCATTGAGGGCAGCACCATTCTCCAGGCAGAAGTTTCTGGACAATGTAAGAGAAGCAAAAGCTAGATGAAAGGCAGCATTCACCTGTGTCTCTGTGCTCTGACTGCTGGTGTGAAGCGACCAGCTGCTCAAGTTCCCGCCATGACATACCCCAAATAGTGGCTTGTAACCTAGAGTTATAAGCCAAATAAACCCTTTCTTTGCTCCATTATGTTGCTTTTGGTCAAGGTGCTTTACCACAGCAACAGAAATGAAACTAGAAGAAAAATGTCACTCACCATTTAGACCTACAGTGGTCTATAAATACAGTCAGATCATTTCTAAAGCCTCTTCAGACATGAATGATATAAAACCTAATTTCTCCCATTAACTTTTAGCTAGTTTTCTTTGGATCCTCCCCCTAATGCCTCTGCCCAAAAAAGAAACAAACAAACAAACATACAAAAACCAACAAAACTTCAATAAAGTGTTTCAATATAGGAAGAAAATAAAGAATAAAGCTACACCAGGGAGCAGACCTCAGGCCACCTGGCAACATTGATTTATCTGTCACCCTGAGCCTTCCAAGCTAATAGCATGCAAGATAGATTCATGCATTTTAGCAATATAACATTTCTCTAAGGCCTGGAGCATAGCTCAGAAGCACAACTGAGAGTATCTGCTTAGTATTGTGTGGCCATGGTTCAATCTCTAGAACAAGGAAGAAAAATGAGTAGTCTATAATTTGGAAAGTTTTTGGTTTTGCTTAAATCTAGCAAACTTCTTTCAAGCTAGGCAAATACTCCCTCACTGAGCTATACCCTCAGCCCAGGAGGTTTTGTTTAAATGACTGCCTACATCTAAAACTACAAATGTTATATCTGTCAATGCCAAAAGTCCTAGGTAGTCACAGATGTCTTGAAAGAGTAATAGTTTTATCAACTAGAAAGACACATCTGTAACCTCAGGACTTGGGAGGCTGAGATAAGTGGGAAAGAGTTAGAGGCCTGATTGTCTCAAAACAACAACAAAAATAACAATTTTCTGGGTATAGTGGTACATGCTTTTAATTCCAGCACCCAGGGGTACACTGTGAAATCCTGACCTAAATAAATAAAATAAAAATTAGAATTTTCAAATGTGTTTGACAACTAAATTTCCCTCTTCCTTTCCCCTCACCTTCATGACCAGGTTAGAGTTCACCTAGAAATATTATTCATACTCAGGGACAAGAGAAGTTGGCCATCCACTGTGATCATACCTGGATCTGCTCTTGAGTCCACTGGTCGAGGTTCACTGATTTTACCCTGGATATATGTACCCCCAGATTTCTGTGGATTCCAGCACACCGAATGCAGATAAACACGCCAATGTTCCAGGAGGCCCATCGAGGCCCTGTGAAGACAGAACAGGACAATCACGTACAAATTATGATAACGTTCCCGCCCATCTGTGCAATTTAGATTATCAAGCAACATTTATGCTAAAACCAAAAGAGAGAGATTTTACTGCAATTACCTTTATATTGACTTTATTCATTCCTATGAATCAACATTTGATTTTTCATCATAAATGGTTCACAGGGCATCACAGAGCTGTGCAGTGACCATCACTCTAATTCTAGAACAGCTTGATCACTCAAACCCCAAACCTACTAGCAGGCACTCTGCATCCCCCTCCCCACCTACCCCTAGCTCCCAGGTCTTGGCAATCACAGATCTATTTTCTGACTATGGCTTGCCAGTTGCAGACATCTAATCTCCATGGAACTATGCCATGTGCAGACACAGGACAGGTTTTCAGCATCTAGTGGGTATTACTTGTATGATGAGAACTCCCAGTAGAGTGGTGGGAAGCCACGTCACAGCCTCTCTAGCCTGGTACCTTACACCAACAGTGGAAGACACTGAAGGAGAGGGGCCTGCCTTCAGCTTTCTCCTAGGAAAAAGGATACACACAGTGCAGGCTAGTCAGGTAATACTGAAACTGAAAACGCCGTAACCCTCTCTTCTCCTCCGGCCTATGAAATATGCATCCACAGTAACCTAACAGGATCCTCTCCCCTGGCCTGATGTCCCTACTTTACCCAACTACAGAATTATCTAGATTCAGAATTGGCAGATAATATAATTACTTGAATGTTTATTGGTACAAAAGAGAAATCTCAGACTTGAATTTAATAGGCTGTTTCAGAATCTCTTATCCCCTGACAGTTCTATTCACCCTAATAATATCTCTGGAAAATCCCCAAACTCCTCATAATTTTATATGAAAAAAAATCACTTTTATATGACAACTGCCAAAGACTGATTGAAAAATCTGGCATAGTTCCCTCTCCATCATTCCTCAGAAACTGATGACATAAATTAGGCACAGTATCAAAATTAGAGGCTTTGATTAAGCATTGAAGTGACACCAATACTGACTTTCTACAGAGCCCGTGCTTGGAAACAGACAGTTGTCCAGCCTGTGGATTTTCACAGCAGTTTTAATGAACAAATGCTAGAATTCTGTGAGAAATCTTCGAAATCTGAATCCATAATTATTACCAGAATTTTTGATTCAGGTAAAGTTCATTACGGCAAAATACAGCACAGGAAACGCACATCCTCCTAATCACCACCAGGAGGCGCTCTCTGCTTGAACCGTTATTGCTATTCTCCTGACAGGCTCGGGTTTATCTTCAAAAAGATCGGCAGCAGCTCCAGGTCGGGAGCCAACTGCAGTCTTCCACAGACTAACAGACACACAATGACTCATATACTTGTTTCTGGTAGGGGGGTGTCATACAGATGCAAAATGAACGAGGTTTCTCACAGTCCTGAATTCCTGTTTTTGTGAACAGTTTTCAAAATTCCCATATGGTCTTTAAAATTTGTAATGGGACCAAATATCATTATTTCATGTTTCTTTGACACTTTTCCTTTGTTCTAGATTCTAAAGTCTTAAAATCAAGACAGTTGAGATTGGGCAGGTAAGATAGCTCAGCAGGTGAAGGTGTTTGCCACAGAGGCCAATGACCTGAATGAATAACCCGGAATCCATACAGTGGAAGGAGAGACTGCACTCCCATAATTGGCCTCTGGTCCCCACACAAATGCAGTGGAATCCCCTCTCAATATCCCCCCCCACACACACACACAATAAATAAGGTAAAAGTAAAAGCAGGCGTTGGAAAGCAGTTAGTTGTGGAGTATTAGGCTATCTGCTTCCTGGGTCTGAGTCAGAGAAAGCAGTTTGCAATCATCGCAGACACTGGCATCACTGTGGAGTTTCTCCAGACACTCTTGGGTTGAAAGTCTTTCTGCCCAAGTCTACAGGGCCCCTTGCAAAGGCCCCAGAACAGAAATACAGCAATTATCTTTTAATAAGCAACCCCATGACAGCCTCCTCTTCCTCTCCCACGGGCATTTTCCCAGTGAAATAGTGAGGCTTCTCATTCCTGCCTCACGCAGTCTCTTTCCCCCTCACCGCCCTCCCCAAACCCGAGTCTGAACCAATGACCTCATACTTTCTGGGCAAGAGCCCAACTACTGCCCTACAACTTGGGTTCTCTTTTAATTTTCAGCAACTAGACTTATTTGTCACCAATTGCATAATCCATAAGACAGTGAAATCAGGGAGGACAAAAGTCACTTCTGGGCTAGGAGTAGGGCTCAGTGGTAAAGCACTTGCTTACTATGCTAGATTCTGGGTTCAAGCCCCAGCACTCTTCCCACAACTTATATGGCTGAAAATGTGAGGAAATGGTGTGGTTATTTAAAGTATAATTTGTGGAGTCAGAAACGACTTAGGTTTGACTGCAACTCCATCAGTGACTACACATATGACCTTCAGCAACTTCTTCTTCCTAGGCCTCAGTTTCCCTGTTTATAAAATGTATATAATAGCATCTACCTCCAACTGCCTAGAACACAGAGAAGCAATAAATAGCAATTGCACATAAGAACCTGGTACAGGGGGCTGGAAAGATGGGTTCAGTAGTTAAAAGCACTGGCTACTTTTCCAGAGGCCCTGAGTTCAATTCCCAGCAATTACATAGTGGCTCACAACCATTTGTAATGAGATCTGATTCCCTCTTTTGGTGTGCATGAAGATAGGTTACTCATACACATAAAGTAAATATTTTTTTAAAAAAGAACCTGGAACACAATGAGAATTCTAGAACACATTTCCCATTCATCTCCACATGTGTAACCCAACACTGTACAATACTACAGAATGCTAGAGGTTTGTGGTTTGTTTTGCTGTTAGCCCTGGCTGGCCTCAAACTTGTAGCAATCCTTCCTCTCTGCTTCTGCAGCATTAGGCTTATAGGCAGGTACCACTACACCTGGCTTCCCCCCCCCCTTTAGTTTTGAATTCGATTTATCGTGTTTCATGGTACACACTAAATTATAAGATACACGAAAATGGTTACTACAGTGGAATGGACTCAGTTTCAGTGTTTCAAGAAACATGAAAAAATAACTAATTGAGCCCCAGACTCCTACCAGAAGAATCATGTCTCTAAAATACAAGTTTATACCAATGAGTCCTAATTATAACTATAAACCTTCCATGGTATTTCATATACAGGGGTAAAAGTGAATTTCATTTGCACATGAGAACACAAACACACACAGAGATAGATAGATGATAGATAGATGATAGATAGATAGATAGATAGATAGAGAATTAAAAATAAATCTTTAAAAAGAACAAAATTCTCAATAGTCTCCAAGGGCCTTTTAACTTATTACTCTTTTGTTACAGAGCTTGTTATGTAGCCCAGGCTGGCCTGGTACTGGCCATGTAGCCCAGGCTGATTTGATACTGTGGCATTCCTCCTGTCTTGGCGTCTTGAATCCTGAGATTAGAGGTGTGCACCAATATCCCTGGCCTCCAAGGTCTTGTGCCTACCCATGCCTAGACATACCCGACTGTTCCCAGTGCCTCAAATGCTCTTCCCTGACCAGCAGCCACCACTGTAGCCAAACCAGCCACATAAAGTGCTTTCTGCCTAGTGTCTGGGGCACCAGTGGCACAGTGCTTGTTTCAAAGGTGTGAGGCCTGGGGTTCCTTGGTTATTAATCTGCACAGTTCACAATCCTCCTTCTGTCTTTCCTTTTTCATCTTACATTTTATTATGGAAAACATCAACCACACGACAGCAGAGTATAACTAACCACCAGCTTCAGTGATTCCCTACCCACCCGCCATCCACAAACCTCAGATTAACTAGAACAACTGAAAGAAATGTATAAATCCCAATCCCATCTTTTCACTTGAGTGTCTTCCAACCTACATCTTTAAAGCAGTAGGGTGTAGGTGCTATGAGCCTGATTCTCCGTTTTCTAACTTACACTATGCTTTGTTATTATGTACTTATGTCTGTGATTGTTCCACACTTCTTTCCTGTTAAACTATAAATGTCACAAGAGTCGATGGCCCTCATTGTCATCATTAAGGTACAGCATAGCTCCCCACATATAGCAGAGAGGCAAAATTTATTTAAAACTCATTTAAAAGTTAGCAAATCCTTTGCACCCCTCTCCCCATCACCTGTAGGAATACATTAAGGGAAAAGCAGGTCTGATACATGAATATGTTAAAAATTGTTTATTATTGTTGGGCATGTTGGCATTCACTCCACTCCTGTTATCCCAGACATTGAGTTCTGGGCCAGCCTGGGTTACAAAATGAGACTCATTCTCAAAAAAAAAAAAAAAAAAAAAAAAAAATATATATATATATATATATATATATATGTATGTACACATATACATATATATATATTATACACACAATTATATATGTATATGTTAATTTTAAAAAAATGGTCTCACAATCTAGTTCCAGATTGGCCTGGAACTCACAGGCCACTTGTGTCTCACCTCTCAAGTACTAGGACTGCAGACATGAGCCACAATACCTGGCTTAATGTTGCTTTCTAAAAGCTAAAAAAAATACATTGTTAGACTATATAAAGGAGTTATGAAAATTTAGGTCTCCATTTGAATAGAAATAGTTCTGTTCTGCTGGGCTTGGTGTTGCACACGTTTAATCCCAGTGCTTGGCAGGCAGAGGTATGGAGATCTCTGGAAATTCAAAGCCAGCCTGATGTTGTGGAACTGTCTTTTTGTCCACTGGGAAGATGTGTTGCTCTCTCTAGTTTAATAAGAAGCCAAATGGCCATTAGCTAGGCAAGAGGTATAGGTGGGACAGCCAGACACAGGATGCTGGAAAGAAGAAAGGCAGAGTCTCCAGCCAGATGGAGAGGGAGCAAGACAGGTAAATGGCACAAGCCACAGTACTGCCACAGGTAAATGCCACAAGCCACAGCACTGCCACAGGTAAATGCCACAAGCCACAGCACTGCCACAGGTAAATGCCACAAGCCACAGCACTGCCAC